TTGTTGATAGTTTGATGTTCTTCCAGGAATTATAGATGTTTTTAATGGCATATAGAATTGTCAACCCTTTCCAGAAGGTCTTCAGTTTAATTTGCCCAGCCATCAAAGCAAGCAGTAGCCATGGCTGCTATAGCCTTACAAAAAAGGGTTTCTTAAATAATAACTTTAAAGTCAAATTACTGCTTGATGCATGGGCTACAGAATGAACACTGCATTAATAGGCATGAAAACAATGTTAATCTCACTACATTTTCATCAGAGCTCTTGGGTAGCTACATCAATGAGCAGTGATATTTTGAAAGGAAACTGTTTTTTCTGAGCAGAAGACAGGTCTCACCAGTAAACTTAAACTACTCAGTAAATCATACTGTAAATGGATGCATTATCATTCAAGCTTTGGTGTTCCATTTATAGTCAATGGCAAAATAGATTTAGTATAGTTCTTGAGAGATCTAGGATTTTCAGAGTAGTAAATGAGCATTGACCCCATCTTAAAGTCACCAGCTGCATTAGCCTCTAGCAAGAGGATGAAACTGTCCTCGGAAGCTTTGAAACCAGGCGTTGACTTTTCCTCTTTAGCTATGAAAACCCAAGACAGCATCTTCCAGAACAAGGCTCTTTTGTCTGTTTTGAAAATCTCTGTTTAGTGTGGATACCCCATAAATTATCTCAGCTAGCTCTTCTGGGTGACTTGCTACAGCTTCTACAATAGCACTTGCTTCTTCACCTCATTTATTATGAAGACATCTTCTTCCCTTAAACCTCCCCTTGGCTCTAAACTTTTTCGCTGAAGCTTTCTCCACCTCTCTCAGTCTTCACAAAATTAAAAAAGTTAGGGCTTTGCTCTGAATTAGGCTTTGGCTTAAGGAGACACTGTGATTTGTTCAGCCATCCATCTAAGCCACTAAAACTTCTTCCATCTCAGCAGTAAAGGCTGCTTTTGCTTTCTTATCATTCATGTGCAGCACTTTTCAAGAACATATTCCCAATTAAGTGTGTATCTATGTTTACTTTAAAGATGATATTTATTATTTTAAATTCATGTTTGCTTGCTTTATTTATGCCTTAGGTTTTTATAACACCTTATTCTTGAAAAATACATAAGAATCCCTTGATTTTTCATCTTGAAGATTTACATATATTTTTTAAAAGCATTTAAAGGGGTGGTGGTTGGAAAGATAATTGTCAAAGGACACAAAATTTAATTAGAAAGAATAAGTCCAAAGGATCTCCTGGACAGCATAGTGACTATAGTAGATAACAGTGCATGTAGAATATATGGGAGGATATATGTCAGTTAGTTCAACAAAGCCACTGCACCATGTATACATAGTTCAAAATCTCATATTGTATACAATAAACATATATTACTTTAATTGCTATTTTTAATATAAACTAAAAATGCATTCCATGTTATTCTATGTGAAGTTTTTAATGTTCTGAGTATAGATATTTTTGACTCTTACTAGTATTCTGTTTTTTCTAAGTATTTTGGAATTTTTGGATGACAAGCTCTTTTTGATAGAGAAGTATTGTTATTTATTTATTCTGATTCTCTACTTTTTTACATTCTTGTATAAAAAATTAGACCTTAAAATGAGAACAAAGACTTATAATTAACGGCATTCCATACTTCCCGTGTGTGATTATATTGAGTATATTGAAAATGACATTAAGCTAGTGGATGGTTTAGTCACTTGTTTGTTATAAGACTCTGTCTGCTTCCTTCTGTGATCTTATGCTTATAACCTGCTAAAAAAAACTGGCTTTAAGTGGTGAGCAGCAGTAAGGACTAAGCCAATTTTTGTATTTCCACATGAAACAAGATTGGGACAAAAAACAAATTAACAAATTGATTCTGGAAATAGAGGTTCTTGAAAGGTAAGATGATGAACCCATCAAAATACTTTATAAGACAAAAGCTTTCTAGTCAAAACTGTGTTTATGTCTTGCCTTGATTGCATCTACCAATCGAAAGTCACCATGTCATCAATATTGCCTTCATTCAATGATGCTTTGCCTTGCAAGATCCACCTTAAAATAATTTATCCTGTGTTCATCAGTTGTAAAATTTTTCTTCTGTGGATTTTCCTTTCCAAGATATTTCCAAGATAAAATGTTCATATGGTGCTCTTGATAAAGTCTGTTTAATGAATGCATCCTGATTTGATTAGTAAGTCCTTCAGGTGCTGTTTGGAAAAATCTATAGTCACAGTCACAAGGACAAGAACTGGGAAAGGCACGGATCTTTTCTTCTCAACTTTGGCTGTCCATTGTTGTCTCTGCCCATGTGTGAAATTTTCACAGGGATACACACATGCTTCTGGGGTCTGTGCAATCTCTTTTTGCAGATTGGAGGCTCAGGGATTTGTTTTGGAGTAGATTATACATAAATGTCTGTAATCCTGGCTTGCAAAACAAGTACCTCAAAACTAATAGACTTCTAGTCTATGTGTTTGCAGAAACTAACAGCCAAGGGTCTTGTCTAGTCATAGATCTTGAACTTGTCTTAATCCTTTTCCATTACTGGCCTCTGAAACTGGCCCACTTCTTTCCATCAGTTGAAAAGCAACTATCTTAGAGCTATCCAGAACAATAGAGAGTGGGAAGCAACACCTTCCATCTAAACTGTGATCTGGACTGGGTTCCAATATCTGGGCAATATTGCTTGAGTCAGACAGAAGGCCCTATACAAAGGCTCAGGTCTCAATATTATCTGCTTATGTTTAGGGCTTAGCAACCTTGGCTTTCTTGCACTGTGGGACTCAAAACCGCTTGACTCACATTCCAGTTTATTTAGATTGCAGAATGCAGGTAAAGAGAATTTCCCCCAACAGAACACATTTCCTTCCATCCGTACTTAAAATTCCCTCATCAGGGTTTATCTCTTATCAGTTGTTTTAAAGTTACAAACTGTAATCTGGCATTAACAAATTTGATTTTTTTTCTGATAGGTTCTACTACAATTGTGACTCTTAATATTTGATTTGCTTTCCAAATTATCAGAGTTAAGAGTTTTACCAAATTGGGTTAATGGTCGTAGGTTTCTGTTTCTGTATTTTCAGCTTCTGATCCCAGCCAGGTAAGTCAGTCAGTCACTCACGATTGCTTTTATAGTTGTCTGAGCATAGTCCTTTATGTATATGTACATATCTTAATTAGACATCAAATATAAGGGCTAAAAAACTAGACGTATCTTTCCTTCTGATGCAATAGTCAGGTGCAGAGAGTAGATGCAGGTTGGGAGACTTCTCTGCCATCCTCAGCAAGGGGCTACCCTGTGCAGGTTTTTAAGGTAGTGTTTGTTGTTCTCACCAGCTTCCAGATAGTAGAAAGGGGAAAAGAAATGCCCAAGTACACACCCAACTATTCCAAAGGCATAGTTCAAAATTGACATCTCTTTCTTCTTTTCCTTTATATTCTCCTCTGGTTTGGTCTGCATAACTTGGATTGACTTTAAACTTGAACCTTGCCCTTACAGGCTGTTTAGAGTGAGCCTTTTAGGCAATATGTCTTTATCCTGGTGGATGCCTAAAGCCCAAGTGTCTGAACTGTGACCAGGGGCCCCTCTCACAAGAAACTTGTTTATCCTGACAGAGGTATTGTGGCTCTTGTCTGATCTGTGTTCGAGTTATTTCTATCCATAGAACCACTCTCTGGTAGAGCCTTGTCCAGGAGGAGGGTGGAGTTCAGGTGTATTAGTCAGGCGAGACACAAGAAGGAAATACAGCAAACACTTGAGATAGCACAAGCCATTTTTATTACTTGCAGATCCCAGGGAGAAGAGCACAGCACACCCAACAGGGCAGCAGGAAGAGGGAACCACCTGGACACTCATGCACCACCAGCGGGAGGGCAGCAAGAGAAAAAGCAAAGGAAGGAGCTGAAAGTGGAAGCCTTTACCAGGATCCAGGGTATTAACCAAGCAGGTCTCCCATTGGGGGTTATAATTCATGGGCTTAGAACAGGCACGCTTGAGTTCCATAGAGTGTGTATGTCACTAAGAGGTGATCTTTGAGACATTATCTGCAGTACGGGGTCCATGGATAAAGCCAAGGAGATTGTATCCAGCTGTCCTGTGGTCACAGGAGAATGTGGTCACAGGAGATAGTTGTATAAAGCAGGTATGGAGGAGAACCACATTGAGGAACTGGGGTGAGCTAGAGCAAAGGAAACTGTATCCAGGGTAACTAAGCCCTGCTTCTGATATGAGACATTCCAGGTTATATTTAAAATGGATACTGAAGAAACGTACAGTCACAGATTCTCCTTGACTTAGGATGGTGTTATATACTGATAAATTCATCATAAATAGAATATAATCACTCAGTTGAAAATGCATTCAAGGCTCCTAACCTGCAGAATGTCATAGCTCACCACCATAAAACACTGTAGAGCTTGGTTGTCTACCATTGTGATCAGGTGGCTGATTAGGAGCCACATCGCACTGGTGCTCCCCAGCATCTAGAGAGAGTACCACACTACATATCCTAAGCCTGGGAAAATATCAAATTGCGTAAGTCCAAGCACTGCTAGTGAACCTGTATCACTTTTCACCAAAGTCAAAAGCTTCTAAGTGAAACCATGAGAATTCACTACACACTTGTATCCTATTTGTAGGAATTCACTACATGTTCACATCCTATTGGCTATAACAAGCCACAAAGAACATTGGGGAATTTATTGTTTTTTTAGTAATGTGGCCACAGAAAGAGCTAACACCCTGAAGAAAAAGAGAAAATAGATATTTGAGGTTAACCAGAAGTATCACATTGGGAGTCAACAGTATCAAGGTAAAAATTTCATGGAAAGTAGAATTAAAAGATGTTTACTTTGATGCAATATTTTTCTTTTATTTCTTATTTATTTTACCCCCAAACAAACCTTTTATTTAAGGAATACAGAATGCATGCATTTCATAAGTACAATTTAAGAATATAGTGATTCTTCCCATCATACCCACCCTCCCACCCACTCTCCCACACTTCCTCCTTCTCTCTCTCTCATTCCCAGTCACATTCTACAATAATATCCATTTTCAATTAATGTGATACACAGAAGACCAACTCTATACTAATTAAAGAGTTCAATAATTTGTACGCAAAAAAAAATTAAAACAGTTTCTCAAAGTTGAGACAAGGGCTATTCAAAGTCATTGCATATTGAAGATAATTTCGCTTTTTTTAAGAAACTTAATTAAATTTAAAGGAACACCCAAGAATGATACATCTTTTGTGAGCACTTAGACATAATTATAATACAACCCTTTGAGGACAGAAGTCCTGCATGGGAAGCTAGTGCACAGTGACTCTTGTTGCTAATTTAATAATTAACACTCTTATATATGATGTCAGTGATTACGTGAGGCTCTTGACATGAGCTGCCAAGGCTATGTTAGCCTTTTGAGTCCACAAACTCTGTCAGTATTTAGATAAGCCCATAAGCAAAATGGAAGTTCTCTCCTCCCTTCAGAGAAAATTACCTCCTTCTTTGATGACCACTTCTTTCCACTGGGGTCTCACCCACTGAGATCCTTCATGTAGGATATTTTTTGCCACAATGTCTTGGCTTTCCATGCCTGCAATGCTCTCCTGGGCTTTTCAGCCAGACCAGAATGCCTTATGGGCCAATTCTGAGGTCAGAGTGCTATTTAAAGTGATTGTCAATCTATGAGTCAGTTGTGTGGACTGCTTCCCATGTTGGAGCATTCCCTCCTTTTTGATTCTATCTAGTATTATTAACAGACTTTTAATCCTATCCATTTCATCACTATAACATTTAAGATGGTATTTTTGCCACCCAGCCAAAGGGGATTTGCAGTCCCACAGATGCAAAAAATTTTTTAAAACTGTGCATAGTGTTTTCATAATGGCATTTTCCATAAACTTTTTGAAAATGCTTTGTCAACATAAAAAACAGTGGGCAGCTCTTTTCTCCAGTCAGACATTTCACTTCTATAGAAGGAAACTGTAAGGTTTAGTTTCCATTAAATTCTCCTTCAAAGAGTAAATTTTGTATCACAGTCCCTTACCATTTGCATCCGTCCTCTAAAAATTTTTATTGGGGAAGCAGGTGATTAATGCAACATCTAAATTGCCATGTGAGATGTTTGTTTCTCATATTGGAGTGCCTGAGTTCCAGTTCTGTCCCCACTTCTGCTTCTAGGTTCCTGCTAAAAGCACCCCTGGATTCCCAGCATCCACAGGGGCTACCCCAATTGATTTCCAGGCTCCTGACTTTGGCCTGGCCCAGTCCTGGTCATGGTGGGCAGCTGGGGAATGAACCAGCAGTAGGAAGGCTTTCTGTCTTTCTGTCTATCTCTTTCCCTGTCTCTCCCCCTTTTAAATAAAGCAAAAAAAAGTAAATAAAAACTTTAAAATCACCAAAATTTTAGTTGAATCAGTATTACTAATGGGATTGATGGATTTTTTTTCTGGAATGTCATGCCTAAAATGGTCAACATCACAAATTGTTTCTCCCATAATGGAAAATGGAGATTTGTATGTAAGTGTATGAGTTTGCAGGAAAATCATGTCTGCCACATAACTGAAATAACTGAACTGATGGAGGGGACAAGGAGGGGACCATGTACATCATGAAGAGAGGGCAAAGTGGGTGTTTATTGACAAATCTCCAATGTTTGTAAGTCCCATTTCAATATTCTGGGCTTTGTTTCTGTGAGATTCCTCAACACCATTCAGTAAAAGTATACTTTTTGTTAAAGAATTAAGTATTTCCTTATCAGCAACTATTCTGATTTAAGAAGTCTTACTGCAATCTCTAGTTTTCTCATTATAACTCAGAGAAATATACACACAAACATCATAATGTAGGTGTTTAACACATGGTACCAGAGCAAGGATGATGAGACAGTTTATCTATGAAGAACAGGAAAGGCTCCGGGGTGAATATAACTCTTGAACTTGGCCTTGACAAGCAATAAGATTTTATCACTTAGAGTTGGAGAAGCAAGAGAACCACAGGGTATGGCAGAGTTTTTCAGATGACAGCATGTTTACAAAGCAGAGAGTAATTCCATCTGTACAGAGCTTTGTTTCCCAAATACAATATACACTGATGAGTCTCTTTTCAAATCTCAGATTTTGGTATAGCATGAGTTTAGTATTTCTGACCTGAAATGTTTAGTCACTGAAAGCACTAGAAATGTATTTTATTAAAAGATTTATTTATTTATTTGAAAGGCAGAGTTATAGAGAGGCAGAGGTGGGGGGGGGTGTCTTCCATTCACTGTTCAGTGTTTCCTCCCCAGATGGCCACAATGGCCCGAGCTGGGCTGATCCGAAGCCAGGAGCCAGGAGCTTCTTCTGGGTCTCCTACATGGGCACAGGAGCCCAAGGATTCGGGCCATCTGCTGCTGCTGTCCCAGGCCATAGCAGAGAGCTGGATTGGAAGTGGAGCAGCTGGTACTCAAATTGGTGCTCATATGGGATGCTGGCACTGCAGGTGGTGGTTTCACCTGCTATGCCACAGCACTGGCCCCACAGAAATGTATTTTTAATATACAAGGCAGTGCCACTGTGATGATTAAGGAAGGGCTATATGACATACATAGAATTCTAAAAATTCCTAATTGCCCTTGTTTTCTTTTGTTTTGCCTTTTCTTAGGTGGGATATTGTACAAGAAAAAAGAAAAAAGTGTTCTTCCTAAGAATTTCCTCTTTGAGTTGATTCAAGTAATTGTGACCATGTTGCTATGTGCAGAACAGTGTGGTAAATAATGCAAACACTAAAAAATATTCTTTGTACTATCAGTGATTTTTATTTCCTTAACTAGCAAAAAATTTCATTTTGGAAGTCAGAATGACTTCTGCTTCTAACTGATGAAATTCCTCTTAGACTGTAGTCAATTGTTATCCAATGTGGCAAACCAGGTGGCCTGGTCCTGCAAGAAATTTCACCAAAAAATACCCAAAGTAGATATGCAGCTTCTCATCTGGCAGGCTGAGTGATCTGGACGGCGTGCCAGACTGGTTACTGGCTTATTTTGTTAGCTGGAGATCATGACTGTTTAGTGTACTGTATTAATCATAGTTGTGTTCAGTTTGGTTGTGACTGTCTTCAAAGGTACAACTTGGAACATTAACATGCTAATTAAAACTCGATTGTTGATAACGACTGTGGAAATAGGCTTGCTGCCTAAATACCAAAGAAAATATAAACATGTTTCAACTTCTTCCAAGATACCTTTGAAAAAGACGTGCATTCTTAAGATGCAGAGACACTAGAAGGTTCTTCTTCTGAGTTAAACACTGATAGAACCAGCTGTCTATTTGACATCTCTTCTCCCTCTCTCTCTCTCTTTCTCTCTCTGTCTCTCTATCTCTCTCCCACTTATCTAGCACTTAATGTGGCTAAAACTGACCTGTTGATCTTACTCAGTCATGGCCAATCTAACATTTTCATCTCAGTACATTGTTTCCCTATGTGCCGAGGTGCAGATGCCAAAAGCCTGCAAATAATCCCCAGCACAGCGCTCCATCTTTCAGATAGAGACAGGCAGGTCTACCTGTGCTACTGGCGATTTACCTCTCAACTTTTCTCCAAGGCCGTAACTACCATTTTTTGTTTAAGCTTTACCTCTCTCCCGAATGACTGGGCTAATTTCCCAATTCTCTCTACCTCTATTCTTGTCACTCTCAATCTTGTCTATATACAGCTGTGGGAAGATATTCTAAGGCATTTTTTTGGACACTGATGTCTCTCTTTTTCAGTGTCTTTGATTAGCATCTCATTCACTAGGTCAGAAGACATAAAAAAAAATTCTTTGCCCTGGCCTTGTATGCCCTGTGCCTTGCTTGCTTCCCTAGATTGTTTTCATCTTACCATCTCTCTTCTACTCAACAGAGAACCCAGAGTGGACATAGGTGGTGGGAATTTGAAAAGCATTTCCTGAACAAGTTTTTACAAGTGGAAATTTTTTGAAATTCTCACCTCTAACTCCTTCCAAATATTATGGACATTCATGGGCTTCCAGATCACTTTTGCTTGTTAACAGAACTTGACAATGATTTACAGATTGATTTTTCCTTTGGGAAATCCTTGTGGATTTTCTTTACACTGCTGATTTTCCTAATTCTTGACTTCAGGAACTCTAGTAGATATTATTGGTCTCCCAATCTACTATTCATGACCATTTGATAAAATCTCACCCAGAAATATTTCATGCATTCATTCTTAGATTTAAATATTCCCATTTTTCTCAATATTTCATCCCATCCTTCTTTTTATTTTTATTTTACAATTCTCATTAAGTTCTTCAATTTATCGTCCCTCAATTCCTTCTGTTTTTAAGCCCTGTTTTGTAATTTTCGTTCTCACCTACATCAAATCTCATTTTCAAATGCTTAAAAAAGCTTTTGCACCAAGACCTTTAATAAAGCAAACATCTGTAGAAATATTTCTTATCTGCTAAGCCTATGACCTTGGCAGACTGCTTGAGCCTTGCTTATTCCACACTCCAGCTGCTTTTTCTCTGCTTGAGCTGCTTTTGGCAACTAGTAGAAAATTACCACTGAAAATGCTTCATCTCGGACCTCAGCTTAACTTCTCGGTGTATAATCTGACTTCCAGTCAGTGCTAGCAGGAGAGACTCCACCTATTCACAGCTTTCTTCAATTTCCCTATCTAAATCTGTCTCTTGATTCTTATATATTAAAGTTTTTCTCCTTTTCACTTCAAGAACCATGCACAAAATTTGGCATAGAGAATCATAAACATTTGTTTTACTCAATAATTCTAAACCTTGGGAGTGCATTAGAATTATTTGAGAGCTTTTAAAAAACACCGGTTCCAGAATTCTATCCCAATCCAAACAAATCAAACTTTAGGAATAAGACCTAATATGGGTGTTTTGAAGACATCCCCAAGAGCTAATCATCAGGGAGAAGTAAGAAACGTTGGTCAGTGATGGGGCTGGCAATGAGTTACAGCAGCTCAAGCCACCACTTGGGACACCCATCTCCCACACTGGAGTGCCGGTTCAAGTCCTGGCTACCCTGCTTCCAGTTGAGCTCCCTGATAGTGTGCCTGGGAAGCAGAGGATGATGGATGATGGCCCAAGTATTGGACTTCCTGCCATCCCCAAGGCAGTCCCAGATGGAGTTCTGGGATCTTGGCTCCAGCCTAACTCGGGCCCTGCAGGCATTTGGGGAGTGAACTAGTGGATACAAGGTCTCTCTCTCACTCTCTCTACAGCTCTCTCTGTCACCCCACATTTCCAACAAATAAATACATAAACCTTAATTTAAAAAAAAAAAAGGAAACAATATTTCACTCAAGTTAGATGTTCCAATCTTATAAATGATTAGAATAAGTCAAGGATATTTGTGTGAATGTGGTGGTTATATATTTACATCATCCAGCTAATGAGGTCTTAGGAACCTCCGAGTGCCCTAGGTGAATTACTGCGTACTCTGTAGAGAAACGGCGTTACATATGCAGGTACAGAGGTGATCATCAAAGCGATATCTATAAACCTGCTGAGAAGTGCCTTTTCTGTTCCTTCCCTGAGGCTTCAGGAAGCTGCACTTACATCTTCATTGAACAAACTTGTTGAAGGTGGGCAGATTGGCAGGCAGCATCTCTTAAACGCTGGTATTTGAACTTGGCCTAGGCAAGCACCTCTTGTAATTTACTTGAAACTTGGCTGGAAGAAGATGATTTTATACTTGGGCTAGGGATGAAGGGAACTTCTGTTTCCTCCTGGAATCTACAAAGGATAAGAACATTTGCTGGTATGCTCTTCCTCCCTTCCCTGGAAAATAAAGAAAACCGCATTATGCTGTTGCTGCACTTGGTTGGGGCGTGCTGAGCCAAGAAGCAGTGTTTGCCCCATGCATCCTGTGGCCTGCTGCCGGAAGCTTGGAATACGGCGCATTCTCATAAGCTTGATTTGTTTCTACTCATCCGACAATGGCATGTGCCTCATAACCGACTTTACTAAATATTCCCGAATTCCAAAGCACCGCCCCTCTTTCATACTGCCAAACCTTCAGCAGAGAGTTAAATCTTGGAGCACCAGAACTTCAGATAGGATCATCAAGTCATTTTGTCTATTTAGTTATATACTGTCTTAAAAATCCATAATACTTGATGAATCTCTGTATGGAATATCACAAAGAAATGGAGAAAAATATTATAAACAGGCAGTAATCTAGCTATCAATCTAGGACAAACTTTAAGGAAATTGTCTCATGGGAAAATAGACAACTGAATACCTCAGTTTTTATTTCAACTCCCTGTAAAGTTCCTAAGAGGTAAAAATGAGATTTTATAGATTATTTTTAGTAGCAAACGATGGCTTTTGGCTTTTTGTTTGTTTGCTTAATATGTCAGATTACATTCTGAACTAGATGTTTTAACAATTTTAAAATGCCTGAGATGTGTGCCTTCTAAGTAAAATTTCTAGAATAATATATAATTATACTGTCAAGAGAAAGCACCTTGATATATAAATTCATTCAAATCTTATAAATATTCAGATATTTTATTATCATATAATATTTGAAATACACCAATTCAGGCTACAAATTTTTAAAATTATTTTATTGGCTAAATTATAGGCACAAAATACTTTGCACATATTATGTAAGAAATTACTTTGAATTGATTAATATTTTTAATATAAACCATATTTTTATCTTACAACATTCTCAACAGAATTTTTATTTAGCTATGCCTTTATATTTACAATAACAGTTATGACTAAATGATACTCATAGATTCCTTATTAGCAACTATGTCTGAATTGATACATTCTACATCTTTTATTTTTTACTTAGTTTTTAACAGATTCAGTGTGATTCGTAGATACAATGCTAAGAACATAAGAAATCCCCTTCTTCCCTCCCTCCCCATCTCCACCTCTTGCTCTCCTTCCTTCTCTCTTTCTCTTTCTTCTTCTTCTTTTTTTTTTTTTTTTTTGATTTTTGGATAATATATTTTAAAGTTATAGTGCAGTAAAAAGGCTTAACACTTCACAGAATAAGAAGTTTAACAAGTAAAAAGCAAAAAGATCCTAGTTTAGTGGCTCTTCTAAAAATCTATTTATCTATTTGAAAGTCAGAGGTCTAAAAAAAGAGAGGGAGGAACACACGCACACACACACACTCACACACACAAAGCGCACGCGCGCGAGAGAATCTTTCATCCTTCCATCCTCTTGTTCACTCCCCAGATGGCCAATGCCAGGGCCAGACATTCCATCCTGGTCTCTGCATGGGTGGTAGGGTCACAGCCTTCACAGGCACATTAGCAGGAAGCTGCATAGAAAGTGGAGCAGCTGAGATTCAACATTCTGATATGGGATGCTGGATTGCAAGCAGCAGCCGAACCTACTGTGCCACAGTGCTGCCCTATACACTCCATACCTTTTATTGCTTTTCTCACTTGGCATATTAAAATTATGAATTTTTATGTGGTAAGGGAGATATATAGGTAAAAGGGGAAACTTTAATGAGGAAGGCAATTGGGAAAAAATATGAAAATATTTCACAATGGTCATGGAGCACTAGCCTTTAACTAATCAAAAATATTTTATCTTATAGCATTTATTTATTTATTTATTTTTTATTTTTTTGACAGGCAGAGTGGACAGTGAGAGAGAGAGACAGAAAGGTCTTCCTTTGCTTCCTTTGCCGTTGGTTCACCCTCCAATGGCCGCCGCCATCGACGCGCTGCGGCCAGCGCACCGCGCTGATCCGATGGCAGGAGCCAGGTGCTTCTCCTGGTCTCCCATGGGGTGCAGGGCCCAAGCACTCTGGCCATCCTCCACTGCACTCCCTGGCCACAGCAGAGAGCTGGCCTGGAAGAGGGGCAACCGGGACAGAATCCGGCGCCCCGACCAGGACTAGAACCAAGTGTGCCGGCGCCGCAAGGTGGAGGATTAGCCTAGTGAGCCGCAGCACCGGCATCTTAGAGCATTTTGATTTATTGCCTGTTATATAGCTCTTCATTAAAAGGAAATGTCATGATTTTGATAAATTATGATTACATAATGTGATAGCACTAGGAATTTTTTTAAAAAATTTATTTGAAAAACAGGCTTACAGAGAGACACAGAGAGAGATTCTCCTTCTGCTGGGTCACACTCCAAATGGCTGCAATGGCCAGAACAAGGAGCAATGGCAGAGCTAGGCTGAATCCAGGAGCCTGGAGCATACTTGAAATCTCCCATGTGGGTGGCAGGCACCCCAGCAGCTGGACCATTCTTTGCTGCTTTCCCAGGAACGTTGACAGGGAGCTAGATTGGAGTAGCTGGGATTGGAACCAGTAGCCATAGGGGATGCCAGCATTACAGGTGGCTGCTTAACCTACCACACCACAACGCTAGCCCCAATGGTAGGAATATTATGTTGTGTGAAGCACTTTGGAAACTCGAAGGAAGAAAAGGGCAGGGACCTCTATCCTGAGCTTCAGTGGCTGTTGGTGAGTAGAGTTTGTGTGTGACACATGAGAATGAAGGTCTTGGTTGTGTTCTCATTCAAACCAATGGTTCTTTTTGTTTTAAGATATAAAGTTATGCTCCATAAACTTTGATGTGGCTTTGTTTGTTATATTTCTACAAAATAACCAAAATCCATTTTTTCCCTCTTTGGAGGGAAAAAAATAGGGAAAATTTAATCCACTATCTGAAAGCCTAAAAATACTTACTTAAGTACAATATATTTGGAATGCAAACTTAATTCAGTTTTCTGAAATATGAATTTTTTTCTTGGTATGTGTGTGGAATCTCTTTTCCTATTGGAATTAAAACTATTCTCCTTTTCTGCCATATTGGAGGAAATCCAATCAAAACCACATGCTGATTTCAATATGAATTTCCTGACTTAGAAATGAATCAAGAAGTACCATGAGGAATGAAACTAGATTGAAATCTGAACAAGTTAAAGTTTTCAAAATCCATGCTAATTGAATATTAGCATTGAGTTAAGAATGGTTCTTGATAATTCACCTAAATTAAATCAGAAGATTTGTTCCATTTTAGCCAAATAAAATTACAAACTGGGGGTGGGCATTTGGCCTCGCAGTAAGATCATTGTGTTCTGCATCATAGTACCTGTATTCAACCGCCCGCTCCAGCTCCTGACGGAGTTCCCCGCTGCTGGCTCCAGCACTGAAGAGTAGACCAATAGATGAGATCTCTCTCTCTCTCTCTCTCTCTCTGTCTCTGTGTGTGTGTATGTTTCTGCCTTTCAAACAAATTTTTTTTATTTTTTTAAACTTTTATTTAATGAATATAAATTTCCAAAGTACGACTTATGGATTACAATGGCTTCCCCCCCATACCGCCCCTCCCACCCACAACCCTCCCCTTTCCCACTCCCTCTCCCCTTCCATTCACATCAAGATTCATTTTCGATTATCTTAATATACAGAAGATCAGCTTAGTATACATTAAGTATGGATTTCAACAGTTTGCTCCCACACAGAAACATAAAGTGAAAAATAATAGATGATTTTTTTTAAATGATGATGAAATCAGAGCAGACCTATTGTCATGTTTAATCCCAGTGAGAGTCAAGTTGGGAATTGATTTTTTTTTTTTTTACAGAGGATCAGTTTAGTATGCATTAAGTAAGGATTTCAACCGTTTGCACCCCCATAGAAACACAAAGTGAAATATATTATTTGAGTACTCGTTATAGCATTAAATCTCAATGCACAGCACATTAAGGACAGAGATCCTACATGAGGAGTAAGTGCACAGTGACTCCTGTTGTTGACTTTACAAATTGACACTCCTGTCTATGGCATCAGTAGTCTCCCTATGCTCCAGTCATGAGTTTCCAAGGCTATGGAAGCCCTCTGAGTTCTCCGACTCTTATCTTGTTTAGACAAGGTCATAGTCAAAGTGGAGGTTCTCTCCTCCCTTCAGAGAAAGGTACCTCCTTCTTTGAAGACCTGTTCTTTCCACTGGGATCTCACTCACAGAGATCTTTTGCCAGAGTGTCTTGGCTTTCCATGCCTGAAATACTCTCATGGGCTTTTCAGCCAGATCTGAATGCCTTTATGGCTGATTCTGAGGCCAGAGTGCTATTTAGGACATCTGCCATTCTATGAGTCTGCTGAGTATCTCACTTCCCATGTTGGATCACTCTCCCCTTTATTTACTCCATTGGTTAGCGTTAGCAGGTACTAGACTTGTCTATGTGCTCCCTTTGACTCCCAGTCCCTCCACCATGACCAACTGTGAACTGAAATTGATCACCTGGAACAGTGAGATGGCATTGGTACATGCCACCTCGATGGGATTGAATTGGAATCCCCTGGTATGCTTCCAACTCCACCACTTGGGGCAAGTCAGCCTGAGCATGTCCCAAATTATACATCTCTTCCCTCTCCCATTCCCACTCCCATGTTCAACAGGGATCACAATTCAGTTAATTTTCAACACTTAAGAATAACTCAAACAAATTTTTAAAAACTGGGGGCCATGTTGTGATTCAGTGGATAAAGCCACCATTTGTAGCACTGGCGTCCCCTGTCTGAGTGCTTGTTCGAGTCCCAGCTGCTCTGCTCCAGATCCAGGCCCCTGCTAATGTGCCTGAGAAAGCAACAGAAGATGGTCCAACTGCCCTCATGGGAGACCCAAATAAAGTTCGGGGCTCCTGGTCTTGGTCTGGAACAGCTATGGCCATTGCAGACATTTGGGGAGTGAACCAGTTAATGAATGAGATTTCTCTATTAGTCTCTCCCTCTCTTTCTCTCTCTGTCATTTTGCCTGCCAAATAAATAAATAAATATTTAAAATAA